TTCGTTTTAAGTGCTTTCCTGCTCTCGACCAGACTCCATGCTCCTGGAAGTCAGGACGAGCTGTGAACCGTGCCCCTGGCCTCCAGCGTGTGCCAGTCATGCCCTGGCATCCCTCACATCAAGTCATAGTCAACAGATCAACTTGTTGGGCATCTGTCATGTTCCCGGCGCCGTGCAAGGCCCAGGGGTAGCAGGAAAAACAACAGGAAGAGGAATATGTAACCAAGAATGAATGCTGGCCTGCGAGTCTGAAAACTTGAAATCCAGTCCTATTTTTTCTGCTTCTCCATTGTTGGATCTGGGACAACATTCCTGGTCCTCAGTTGCTTAAAAGGAATGTCTGATTCAAAGACTTCTAACATCTCTCGACTCTGCAAGTGCACGTACTTAACCATGTCCGAGGGGAGTGTGCGAATGCATCTGGAACCGCATCTGCTGAGCGGGAGGCTCACGGCGTGGTCAGGGCAGGAGGTCACGTGGTCGTGAGGATACAGGATACAGGAATGGGTGTCCGTGAGGACGGGAGCCCCACGTGCGGGTGAACGCCATGGAGAGCCAGGTCCACAGGGTGCGTAAGCTCGTGATGGGAGTGACGGGCCACAGCAGCAACTTCAAAAACGATTGGCTGAGCAAGAGTAGGGAGGTGAGGCCTGATGGTAAGGCCAGTGGTGTGGTACTGACACGATATGCAAGGCAGAGATCTGCTCAGGCCGGAGCAAGCGCTTACAGCCGAGCCCGAGGTGTCAGGTGAGCATGGCCCAGAGGGCAGAGGTGCCCCAGATAGGCAAGCGGACAAGAATGGGGCATGCGAGCGAGCGCAAGAGGCTGCACCTGTGGTGGAAAGGTAGCTACAGGGCCTGAGTCCCTGTTGATGATGCTGATGTGCCTCATGAGCAGGTAAGAAGGCGCAGGACAGACACAGCCCAGCACGAATCTGCTTGATGGGGGGGAAGAAGGGCGAGTGTGGGTCACAAGCTGCTAATTGGGGCAGGGGCAGCTAGCAGCGCGTGGCTGATTCATGAGCACTGGGAATGGCAGATAGGCTGACTGATATGCAGCCAACAGTTAACCCAAACTAATTTTTAAAAAAAATTTTTGGCTGTCAACAGATGCTTATTTTCATGCATGTCTTGACAACATCATGATTCCTCTCTGGAGAACATGGAAGGAGACTGTGGCTGACCCTCTAGCTGGGTTGAGGTATAACTTGTCGAAAGGCCTCCTCAAAAAGACAGTTGCTGATCATTATATTCTTCTGGCCAGAAAACCGATGTTGAGTCTTCCACTAGACATGCAAGCCCAGGTGTCAGTGTTTACTGTTACATGAGTGAATATCTACACAAACTAACACCCCCCCTTAGGAGGAGGCCCCTACTGGAGTATCCCAGCACGGCCTCCAATTCCAAAGGTTTAGGGAAAGCTGTGGATCCAGAGAGATTGGGAAGCACAGACTCTGTGCCCAAGTTAGCAGAACGAAATTCAGCGTAGTAGCAAAATTGTTCACTTGGATGGTTAAGGAAATAAGTCCTATCCCTGCCGGGGGATGGTAGGGAGCACACATACAGTGATAAAAGTGTAGGATGGAGAGGATGTGGCTTTTTAGCATATATTAAAAAAAATAGATTTAGGCTGCTTTCACATGGACCAAACACCGTAGACCAGGCTGATGTTGCGGGGCGAGGGTGCAGGGGCCCAGGCCCAGACCGCCCCCCTCCCCGGGCTTGCAGTTCCACCAGCACCTTCATAGGGGTCACAGTGTCGGTCCCTCATTACGGCGTCGGCCTACGAGTTGAGGTCGATCCTCCTAAGCTATGACAACGGTATTTGTGTCTTCCTCCAGCCCCGTCACGTGTGAATGGGATAGTCAAGCACCTGGGAGGGACCCTTGCTACCTTCCAAGACCCGGGCCTTCCCTTTCTCCTCGCGCGTGGCCTGGCTCCCTCCCTCCATGCTGAGCCGGGTCCTCGGGGGTGCTTGGTGCAGACCAGGGCTCTCTTCTCCAGCCTCACTTTCCCTTGACCTTCCTTGTCCCAAATACTATTCATTCGGCTTCTCACTGTGATGAGAGTCAGAAAGCTTCCACCTGCCGGAAGCTGCTGCAAAGGTCCTCCGCGATAAACCTTTGGTTCTAGGGGTGTTAATTCTGTTTTATGGAGATAGACTAGCTCTTTACAGTGGAGGTTCAAGTTCTTTGAAGCAGTGACTGCGTTTAAGCACCTTTGCCTTCCTGTCGGGGTCAGTCTGGGCCCAGTCACCACGGCGGCTCACAAAGGAAGACACGGGCACCCGCCCGGAGCCGTGTGCCCCCCCGGGTCTGGCCAGAGCAGGTTGAAGAAGCCAGGGGGTCCTTTCATCTCCCCCCCCCGCCCCCGTTATTTATTTCTGACCTCGGCCCGGACTCTCCTCCTTCCAGTTGCATTTTCACACGTCGACTAGCCCTGCGTGCTTGCTCTCAAGGCCCACTCCCCGTCACTCTATCCTGCCTTCCGATCCTCATCCGTCTTTCTCAAATGTGGTTTTCTCTTCCAGCCGCCTCTCCTCCGTGGGCCTCGGGAATGGAGAGGGCGAGATAGCAGGAATGTCTTAACCACTGGAGGTGGGCGTGGGCTCTGTGGAATGTGATCCACCATGGAGGCTTTCAACCCCCGATGGAAAAGTCCATGCCTTTGTCTTCATTCTGTTTAGAAGGATGGCAAACTAAATCCTCGTCCCGCCACATGGAAATAACGGAGTTAGATGGCTTCTATCTGATCAAATTATTTTATTCAAACATTCAGAACTGTTTGGGGATCGAGACAACCTAGGTTGACTAAGCTCCGAGGTAGCCAAGGTCCGGGAGAGGTTCTGAACCGCAGTAGGAGGCCTAGCTGACTTTCCTAGGCTCGTGCTGTGTGTTACGGGATAGCTGGTCCTTTCGACATTAAACTCTTTTCCTCCTAGTTATAGTTGCGGCCAAGGCTGGATTTACTCAGCGGCTTGTTCAGCTAGCTCAACGTGTGGATGCCTTCCACGACCCCGCTTATTTAAACAGAACTCAGAAATCATAAATAGCAATTCAAAAGGAGAGCTTGATTTCACAAGCTGAGATCTGAAACCCTCTCAAATATTTGCCAGAGACCCCGTGAGTCCTAAAATATCCTCCGTTTCCTCCCAGCCAGCGCTGGCAGCTGGAGAACTATTCTTACAAATAATGACAAATATTTTACCAACTCACAACATGTTGCTTTCTGTTTTGGTATTAATTTCGTTTGTTCATATTTTTGACTGGGGAAGTCAGTGTGGTGTGACATGATGGTCATCCAACAAATCCCAGGAAAAGAATTACTCTCATTTTGAATGTTTTAGCATGTGTTTCTTGAATAGTAGCTCCACGCAAGCTATTATATTGAATGTTTTTGGTGATGAAACTATGAATTGAACTTGATGTTTGACCACAAGAATTGAAAGAACTGAGACGTTGTAATACAGCCAGTGCCATGGAAAACTTGCTAAAATGCACTGAGAAATGAGGGCTCGGGTGGGATTTGTTGAGTGAGTCAAAGAAGGCTTTTAAGGGAAGTGGGATACGAGCTTCGATGACCAGCCTGTGCTAATATGTGAAATGGGGCATGTAGGGTGAGGAAGGGGCATCTAGACGAACGAAACCTTATTAACAAAGTCTCAAAAATAGTACAGTATGAAGTACAGGGCACTTTGTTAGGTTTTAGTTTTATGTAAATAAATGAAAGAGAACAGTTAGAGATAAAGCTAAATCCCCTGGGTCTGAAATCCTGCATTTAATGCTGGTAGGTAATGGGGAATGTTTTATCCATTATTCCACTCTTTAAACAATTTCAGAGTTGTGTTTGAGGATAATGAATCACATAATTAATCTGTCCTCAGCTTATAAGCTTGACTGTGGAAGAGAAAAAGAATTGGAGTTTGGAAGGCCGGCTGGGAGGTTATTACAATGGTCTAGTGACAGGTACTGAGAGCGGCCTGGGCTGGGCGGGGTAGGATTGGAGTGGGCGGTAGAAAGGAGAGACGTCAGGGAGTGAACATTTCTCAGATTTAGAACCTGATCAGCAGATGAGAGAAAGGAGAAAGGAAGGAGTTAAAGATAATTATGAAGCATCAACCCGAAGAAGCGACACCATGAAGGAAGTGAGACAAGTCAAGCCATACGGAGGGAGGGTGAGCTCAGCTGTGCGAGCAGTGCGTGGACGTACACGCGCTACCCTGGGAACCCCGGCTACGTCCTGCAGTACGGGCTTGGGATGCATTAGCATAGACGTGATGGCGGCAGGTGTAGGAGCGGGTATGAAGATGGCCAAAGGTCGGCCTCGTGGGGGCAGGCGGTCTAGTTGTAGGGGAAGGAAGATGAGCCACAATGGAAGTAGTCAGTGAGGGCAGGGAAGAGCCCGACTTAGGATCATAGGAGAGTGGAAAAGAGCAAGTTTCAAAGAAGCAGGGGTCCGAGTGTTCATGGACACAGAGAAATAAGGAGGCTGAGAACAGATCAGGAGAAACGAAGTGTGATAGGCGAGAGCTCACTGGTGACTTCCACAAGAGTGGATGTTAAACTGTGATTTGTTGGAATGTGTTCTCTTTGTAAGTCTAGGGTTTGATGGTTTGGGGTCTATTAAGTGTTCTGGATTTTCCCATTTCTTTGAGATAACACAGATAATGAAAGATGGCATGCATGTGTGTGTGTGTGTGGAGGGGGTGCCTTGTGATCAGGGACTGTTTTATATAAATGATGAGATTATTTGAATAAACTATACCTTGAGCTCATGTTTCATTAACAACCCAGACATTAATTCAGCCAATAAAGGAAATCTCCAGAATTTTACGTTATTCAATAGACAAAACTTCTACCCAAACTACATCAGGTAAAGAGATACTCCACTGCCCCTTTTCATTAAATGAAACAGCAAACAATAAAAACATATAAACAATTGCTGAACTGGTGAGCATGTCCCAGAACAGCTAAGATGATCATCCTTTCTCTTTCTTTTCAGAACAGAAGGCTGAGCTATGATAGCAACTGGGGGAGTGATAACGGGCCTGGCCGCCTTGAAAAGGCAAGATTCGGCGAGATCGCAGCACCACGTCAGCCTCAGCCCGGCGCCTGCTGCCCAAGACAAGAAACCGGCCCGGCGTCGGCCTCAGGCCGACGTCGTAGTGGTGCGGGGCAAAATCCGGCTTTATTCCCCATCTGGGTTTTTCCTCATTTTAGGAGTGCTCATCTCCATTGTAGGAATCGCAATGGCAGTCCTTGGATACTGGCCCCAAAAAGAACATTTCATCGATGCCGAGACAACACTGTCAACCAACGAGACCCAGGTCATTCGGAACCAGGGTGGCGTGGTGGTCCACTTCTTTGAGCAGCATTTACATTCTGATAAGATGAAAATGCTCGGCCCTTTCACCATGGGTATTGGCATTTTCATTTTCATCTGTGCCAATGCCATTCTTCACGAGAACCGTGACAAAGAAACAAAAATCATACACATGAGGGACATCTATTCCACGGTCATCGACATCCACACGCTGAGGGTCAAGGAGCAGAAGCATATGAATGGCCTTTACACGGGTGTGATGGGAGACTCGGAGGTTAAACAGAATGGGAGCTCCTGTGCCTCGAGACTGGCAGCAAACACCATCGCGTCTTTATCCGGCTTTAGGAGCGGTTTTCGGATGGACAGCTCCGTTGAGGAGGATGAGCTTGCGCTGAATGAAAATAAGAGTTTGGGGCATCTCATGCCACCTTTGCTTTCTGACAGCTCTGTCTCCGTCTTTGGCCTCTACCCGCCTGCATCCAAGACGACAGAGGACAAGACCGGTGGCCCCAAGAAGTGTGGAACCAAATCAATTGTGTCGTCATCCATCAGCGCTTTTACCTTGCCTGTGATCAAGCTTAACAACTGTGTCATTGACGAGCCCAGTATAGACCACATCACTGAGGCTGCGGACAACCTCAAGAGCAGGGCGAGAAACTTGTCCATGGACTCCCTGGTGCTCCCTCCGCCCGACGCCGGGGAGCCCTTCCAGCCGGTCGGCACGGCCTTCTCGAGGAATCATTCTGTTGGCGAGTCGCTGTCGAGCCAGTACAAGTCCTCTGTGGCCCTCGGACCCGGGGCCGGACAGTTCTTATCTCCTGGGGCCGCGAGAAGACAGTTCGGGTCCAACACATCTTTACATTTGCTCTCGTCACACTCAAAATCCTTAGACTTAGACCGGGGTCCTTCTACCCTAACTGTTCAGGCGGAGCAACGGAAACACCCAAGTTGGCCTCGGTTGGACCGAAGCAACAGCAAAGGCTACATGAAACTAGAGAATAAAGAGGACCCCATGGAGAGGCTGCTTGTGCCCCAGGCTGCGATCAAAAAAGACTTTACCAACAAGGAGAAGCTCCTCATGATTTCCAGATCGCATAATAATTTGAGTTTTGAACATGACGAGTTTTTGAGTAACAACCTGAAGCGGGGAACTTCTGAAACCAGGTTTTAATGTTCAAAAATATATCATTTTACAAGGCTATATATTTTAAAACTATTTTCACCAGTGTTTCCTTGTAAAAGTATAGGTTATAAGCCTTTTTATTAATCAAATGGTTTGTAGTGGGTTTGACCTGGCTGTTTAATTCTGTGTGGGAGATGGCTGCTTATGTTTGGGTTGCTCATGGTTGCAGTTCTTTCTACGATTGCACATGGTTTAGTGTTTTCCCTTCCTTTGGAAGCATTATCTCTTTTATTGATATGAACACACCAGACTCCCATCTGAACTACAGCTCCCTTTTCTTTACTTTCAAGTTCTCGCGTTGATGGTCATCTGCATAGAATGAAGTGTCCAGTTCAGAAAGGGCAGGGTACCAATGTGTGGACCCACAGTACCAAATTTAGGCCCAAGACTCAAAATAAACTTATAGATGAACATGAGTACAAACCATAGGCATGATTTTCTAAATGATTGCTTTTTTAATTTTTTTTTTACAAAATCAGATAAATTATTCAAAAGGAAAAAGATCTAGTTTCTGTGTGAGCGAAATAATGTGAATTGGTGAAATTGGTTTAGCTCTATGTGAGCTAATTGATAGGAATTAAGTTGGTTGTGACTAGTTCCCTGAGCTCTGGGTAGGTATATCTTTTTTCAATGTTAGTTCTATTTTAGGGATATTTTATATATAAAAAAAAAAAAACCATGTATTCGAGAACCATGGCTGAGAATGCCAGGTATTCTTAGGGATAAATATCAAAATGCTATTAGCTATAACTTTAGATATTCAGAATTAGAATCTCTTTGCAACTAACTCAGAAAAGGAATGAGCCAATTTAGTTTGTAGGAATGCTATCTTGAAATAATTATATACATGAAGAAAATGTTGACTAGTCACAAAAATACACTATGGGTTAGTTAACAGTAACTAGGCTCAGTTACTCCCTCCTCGCCATCTCTTTTGTCATCCAGCATTCCCACATCCTTCTTTCCCCTCAACATTTTTTAGATCCTGTTCTTTGGGAAATAATCAGCTAACCTTGACATTTCATTTTATCTTTGTGTATCACTAGCTTGGTGATTCAAGAAAATTTAATCCTTGACAAATGGCCTTGAAATTTACCTTGTGCTGGAAAGCCTTATGAAGACCCCAAAGACTTTCTTAGGGTGTAATACATTTTTGGAATTGTGGCTGTCAGTCACCGAAGATAATAAACACGAAAATGAATGTTTCCATCAGAAAATGTTCATGTTTTCCATTAAGGTAACATTTAATTGTAAGAACTGTTTAATGGAATACTCAGGAAATTTTACAGATTCTTCCCAATGCCTAAATGTTTCTGAGTGGCATCAGCATCAGTATCATTGCAGCTCTTGTGGAAAGGGAGAAGGAAAATACATCTCTGTCCGTAGCTCCCCACAATCCCACCTTGTGTTGGCATCCGAGCTTCCCTGAATTGAGTCAGTGTTACTTGTTAGAACACCAAGCTTGTGTATCGTTATAGAGTGAGTTCAAGATTTTGCTATAAAGCATTGAATAAACTTCTGTTCTTAATAGAAATTTGTGTTCTGCCTACATTTGCTATTATTTTTAAATGAAATGTACAATTCTGTTTAAAGTACTGTTGTTCAAACTTTCAAGATGTAGTCTCCTGGAGGCACTTGATCCTGTAGGATGTGTATTGGGTTTTGTGGCTTTCTTATTTTGCTTCTATTAAAGAGCTGGGTCTCTCCACTTATTGAAAATAGGCTATTTTCATATTTGTTCTCTTTGTGTGGTGATTAATTTTATGTGTCAACTTGACTGGACTAAGGGACGTCCAGATTTCTAGGTGTTTATGACGGTCTTTACAGAAGAGATTCGTATGTGAATCTATCAACTGATCACCAGTGCAGGTCGACATCATCTCACCTGTTGAGGGATTGAATAGAACAAAAACACAGAGGAAGGGCACATCTGTTCCCTGTGCTTGAGCTGGGACATCTGTCTCCCTGCCCCCAGACATCAGTACTCCTGCTTCTTGGGCCTTTGGACTTGGACTGAGGTTTATACCACCGGCTCCCTTGGTTCCTGGGCCTTCGGGTTTGGACTGGAACTACACCGCCACCTTTCCTCTGCCCCTCTAGTTTGCAGATGGCAGGTGGTGGGATTTTGTGGCCTCCACAATTACGTGAGTGAGTGCTTCATAGTAAATCTCTCTATATCTGTCTACCTATCAATCTATTTATCTGTCTATCTCCTAAAGGTTCAGTTTTTCTGGGGAACCCTGACTTGGGATCATTTTCACTTAAAGTTTAATTGGTTTTCAGGAAAACAACCAGATACATAGCACCTAGCAAATGTCAGTGATAATCCCAAGTTTGAAAACAGTGACTCTAAGCACCCCTGATATGACATGTGACTGAAGCCATGTAATTTGCTCAGTTCACCCCTGAAAGAGCTGTAGCAGCTTGAAGAGGATTAAACAGCATGGGGCTTGGAGGATCCAAAGAAAGGAATTGGGGCCCAAAGCAGTGATTCCTGCTCACTCTTCTCTTCATCAAAAAGCCTGAGGTTTTTTTTTTTATTTCCCAAACAAGCCAACTTTATGAAATGATTAACTTTATTTTAAATTAATCAGACACGTGTTGCTAATTAAAGCTTCAGATGAATATGAGACAGCGGATGCCACCATGTTGACTTGATACAATTCTACCCAAAAGCAATGAAACTTGGAATTTTAGTCGGAGTGCATTTTGTACATTTCCCTTTAGGCTTTAATAAATCCTGAAAATTATTTAGAAACTCTCTCATTTCTTCCCTTGGGAAACATCAGGTATCTGGACTGTGGGCTAACTGCCTCTAGGCCAAAGAGATCTAAGGCCTGTGATCTACCTGGGATGTATTAGCTTGCTGGGGCTGCCATAACAAATACCACAAACTGGATGACTTAAGCAAAAGAAATTTATTTTCTCTTAGACCTGGAAGCAAGAAGTCCAAGATCAGGGTGTTTGGTTTCTCCGAGGCCTGTCTTCGTGGCCTCCAGAAAGCCATCTTTTCCCTATGTCCTCACACAACCTTTCCTTGGAATGCACGTCTCCGAGTCTCTCTTCTTAGAAGCACACTAGTCCTGTTAGATTAGGGCTTTATCCTGTCCTCATTTCACCTTCATCACCTTTTTAAAGGTTCTGCCTATCTCCAAATATGATGTCATTCTGAGGTGCAGGGGGTTAGGACTTCATGAATTTGGAGGGGAACACAAATCTGGCTCTAACACAAGGTGTGCCTGGAGAAGTGGGGCAGCTGAGTGGGTATTCTTAGCCTAGAGCAGGTAAGGAAACCACAGTATACCCCCTAATGGCTTTACTACCCCAGCTGTGTAGCCTGGAGTGAATCAATCTCTCAATTTCACTTAACTCCATTTTTATTAATTTCTTAATTTCGAGCCTTAGATTCCTCAACTGGGAAGTGAAATGAGCAAGAACATAAATGATAAAGCCTAAACTCTAGAGGCTCTGGGTTCTTGATGCCCTGGGATGAAGACCCAGTGCTTGTCACCATCTCTGTTTGCTTCTCAAATAATGAGGGGCAGGAACCACAGTAGAGCAGAGTGGTTAGACTCATGGATGTCAGAGCCAGAGCATCAGTATTTGCACCTGGCTCTGTCACTTTTGGACTTCTCCCCCTGCTGCGGCAAGACCACCAACAAGCACCAACTGAGTGCCAGCCCCACTCCAGGCTAGTATAGATTTAATCGGTTGGAGCTCATAGAGGATCCAGGGTGGTGCCTAGGGGGGCACATGGTGAACACTCAGCATCACTATTACTATCTGACAGTGTCAGCTGAGTGCGTTCTCACCTTCACCCCAACCACATCCCACCCCCAGATGCAGGATGGATTGAGGCCTCCTAAAAATGTTCATGTCCCACTCCCCGGAACCTATGAATGCTACCTTTATGGCAAAATGAACATCTAACTCTAACTAAATGAAGGATCTTGAGTTGGGGGAGATTATCCTGGATTATTCAGATGTGTCCTCATGAGAAGGAGGCCGAGAAAGATTTGACTGCAGAGATGATGTGTTCAAACCAGAGGGAAAATAGAAGATGCTAGGATCCTTGCTTTGAAGATGGAGAGAGGAGCCACAGGCCAAGAAATGATGGGAACAAAGCACTCGACACTGGAAAAGGCAGGGAAATAGACTCTTACCTCAGAGCCTTCACAGGAACCAGCCCTGCTGATACCTTGATTTTAGCCCAACGAAACTGATTTTGGACTTCTGGCCTCCAGAAGTGAATTAAGTATATGTTATTTTAATCCACTAAACCTGTGTGTTTTGTTACAGCAGCCATGGAAAGCTAATACATTCTCCAAAACCAAAGGAGCTTTTTCAGACAAGCCAGCCGGTTGTCTGCAGACTAACAAGCAGGGTGAATGCGTCCATCCCAGGTGATGGCAGGTGGCCCAGTGTTGATGTAGGATCAACATTGATAATGTAAGTTATTTAGACAAAAGAGGTAGAGATTCTTTGAAGCAGCAAATATTGACTTTGGTGGATAATAAATTGCCAACAGACACACGAAAAAATGTTCAACATAACTAATTATCAGGGAATTATCAAAATCAAAACCACAATGTGATAGCACCTTCCACCTGTCAGATTGGCTAGTATAAAAAAGACAAAATATAACAAATGTTGGTGAGTATGTGGAGAAAAGAGAACCCTTGTGCACTGGGAATGTAGCCACAGTGGAAAGCAGCATGGAAATGCCTCAAAAAGCTAAAAATGGAAGTTTCATACAATCTAGTAATTCCACTTCTGTGCTTTTACCTGAGGAAAATGAGGACACTAATTCAAAAAGATGTATGTGCCTCTATGTTTATTGCAGCTTTATTTACAATCACCAAGATATGGAAACAACCGAGGTGTCCATCAATAGATGAATGGATAAAGGGGATGTGACATATATACACAATGGAATATTACTCAACCATGAAAGAGTATGAGATTTTGCCATTTGTGAGAACAAGGGTGGACCTAGACGGCATTATCCTGGGTGAAATAAGTTGGACCGAAAAAGACAAATAATAAATGATTTAATTTATATGTAGAATCTAAAAAATCAAAACCAATGAACAAACAAACAAGCAAGCAAACAAAACCAGAAACAGACTCATAAATAAAGAGAACAGACTGGTGGTTTCCAGAGGGGAGGGGAATGTAGGGATGGGCAAAATAGGTGGAGGGGATTAAGAGGTGTAAATCTTAAGAGGGGAAAATATATATATTCTATTATTATTATTCATATATATGTATATTTATATTCCCATATTTGGATAAGGGCATATCTTAAACTCCGGACTTGAGAGCAGCTATCAATTGTAAAAGTTTTCAGAGTCAAATTAGTGTTTCTGTTTATATAATTTGAAAAGAAAAGTGGAAACATTTTTAGCAACGTTTGTATCAAAATGGATATTGTACTAGCAATTAACAATTTACTAAAGATAAAGTTTTAGTTACTTGTTTAGCAGTTCAAATTTAACCCTTTTTAATTTATGGAAACACACGATGGATGACTAAAGGAAGTAATTTTTTTTTAAAATCCATCGATTTACCAAAGTTTACCTACCGTATTTTAAAGATGAAAGTCTTGGCCTGCCCAATGATGTACATCCAACTTCTGTGGTGTTTTCGATTGTTAAAGATCTTAAGCATTTAAAAAAAAAAAAAGATCTTAAGCATTATTCACTAAGGAGCAGTGGCCCTACATGCACTATCCTGTCTTTTACTTCCAAAGAATTGCTCTGTTACCCTTCTCCCATGCTACATGTAATCCCATCTCAGGTCTTGTATAAATAATAATAATAACGTTGATATGGGATCAGATCCTCATTTAACGATTTAAGTCCCTTGTGATCCAAATTCAAACTGAAGTAATTCAGTTGGTTTCTTTCTTTCTTTTTTAATTTGAATTCAATTTGCCAACACATAGTCCAACATCCGGTGCTCATCCCATCGCGTGCCCTCCTCAGGGCCCGTCGCCCTGCCAGCCCATCCCTTCACCCCCCACCCCTCCAGCAACCCTTTATGTATTTTCCAGAGTCTCTCATGGTTTGTCTTCCTCTCTGATTTTCTCCCACTCATTGTGCTTGTTTTGGCGGCACATATACTAAAGTTAGTTTCTTTCTGTCTGCTGTTTCTTTCAGGATGATGGCGCAAGAGGGGAAAGGCCAACTTCATTGAAGTGCTTTTTACTCATTGATGCCATCTTGAGATAGAATTTAAAAATCAGGCCTGCCCAAGAGCAGGGTTATTAAAGTGACAGAATTAGGTCACTCAACCTTTAAATGTCAGCAGGTCAATTCCTATGGGGACTGTAGGAAAAGAGAAAATAAATAATAAAGAGGACACAGGAAACTCCACACACAGGATCTTGTCATTCTCATGCATCAAGGAGGTCTTCACTATACACTTCGAATATCCTCTTCTTACTGCTTCCTTTCACTCCTGGTTGGTTCAGGAGTTATTTTATTACAGAAATTATCGAGAAATTCACTTTTATTTTCACTTCTCCCTACTCATTCACCATTTAATACTTTGAGATTTCGAATGATTTTCTAGTTCTTTCTCATCACCAAATAGTATGGGTTGTGTCTCCAGGAGCAAGTGTACTCTGTAAATTAAATTTAGAGATTTTGTTTGTGGTGCAATTATTTATAATCTAGATAATAAGGCCATGTTATTTGTGGTGTAAA